CCCCTGGACCCGCCCCCTTATTAAAAAATCTATTAAAGTAATAGCTAGCCTAAATAAAAAATCTGGATTTATATAGTAGGCCTATTTATTTTTATGTAATAATACACATTAATAATTTAAAATTGTTAAAAATAGTCACTTCAACATAACTAGGCCCCTATTCCTGTTGTAAAAAATTGTCACTCGAATACTATGATGTAAATCACAGTGAAGCGTGGTGGCACGTTGCAATTACTGTACTTAGTGCAACAACGTTTAAAGTTTTGAGTTTTTGAATATCCATATCGAAAATCTTTTCAATTTCGTTATTTAACGAGAAGGGGGTCGGGCATGTCATGCATATAGCATCGAATGTAATCAAAATTGTGTTTATGTAATTCTTGCTGCACGTTTTTGCAGTCCGATTTTTACAATATTTTTCTCGGATGTGTTTCCCCAAACCGAAATTGCATAATCGATACATGGTTCGATTGTGCTTATATAAGCAGAGACAGGGGTGGCGCCAGGATTTGCCCGACGGAGGGGCCGAGGTCCCCGACGGGGAGGGGGCGACGAAGGGTCAGATTTCCCCGACGAAAGCAAAGTGGGCGTGGTTGAGCTTCGATTAAAAGGTTTCGAAAGCGGTCCAGAGGGAGAAGCCCCCGAAAATTTTGACAATTTAGGAATTTCAAAAGGCTTACGGTATTTAATCGATTTTAGAGCCTACTAATGTAGAAAATACATAGGCCTATAATTTTTTTCCTCCCCGACGGGGGGAGGGGTGGGCAGCCTCCCCCCTGGATCCCCCGCTGGTGGCACCACTAAGCAGAGATTGGTGCAATGTTTTGGCCAATGCTATGAATCTATCTCTAAACCCAAATATTTTATAGGCCTATGTTTAATGAAATATTCAGTACATCAAATGAAAGTATATTCTGGTTTCTAATTAGCATGGTTTTTTTAGACTCCCCGAAGGAGCAAAGCCGTTTAGAAACATACCTTTCATTAATGATTTATTTATAATGGAACATTTCGCCATATAACGTGATGCAAGTCTAAGTTAATAGCCTAGTACCGGTATCGAAATTATGAACATCAAGATTACTATTTTTATATAAGCATGGATATCGCCAGTTACAAGTGTCGTAAAATTTCGTGTGTGACTACAATTTGAGTTTTCCGTTCTGTTGTGTCTTCTTTAATTGCGTTTGAAATGTCTGTTTCTATATATTATTTCAATATATTATCAGTTCAATATATCGCCAATGTGCTTTTTTGTTTGGTCATAAGTAGTAGAAATGCTTATGGTAGTCCAACAAATAGCCGGCTCTTCAAAGATGGCCTCTGAGAACATATAAAAATAAAAAATTTAAAAAATCCAAAGATTTATTGTCAAAATATTATAAAAATCGGAAGGACCTCTGCTCCAAAACCAATCCATCGGTGGTACACATCTATAGGCCTAGTTGACATAGTCAATTTTCATGCGCGAAGGGCCCCGGCTGTACTCTTGAACCAGGGCCCCTCGCAACCTAGTTACGCCACTGCATTTCCTATTTTTACTCCGTTAACAAACAAAAAATAGACCTACCCACCGCACGGTATAGGCCTGGATATCCAGCAGTGCCACCAAGAGGGGGAAGAGGGCAAGATCCTCGGACCCAAGCTTACCAGGGGGCCCATAAAAATTGCTGGTAGCATTTTTTTTTTCAAAAATAATAATTACTATCATGGGCCCTCAATAATGGCATGGGTCCCCTCCAGATTGACAGGCCCTCTCCCTCCCCACCCCAACTCAAAAAAAAAATTCTTCTTTTTCGCACTCGTAACTGGGGCCCACACCTACCCTTCCCCCGTTACACAGTTTCCCCCGGACGTCCCTGTATACAGGAATTCTAAAGAGGGGACTAGCTAAGGGACTTTCACAGTCTAGAGCCTCCCCCTACAATGGTTCCACGGGGCTGAGGTAGGAAAATGTATTATCGCTCATCTAGATGGCTGGAAATGGCACTCTCAGACCTAAATTTGATTAATTTCTGCTGTCTGCAGACTCCAACCAACTATTCCACATTGAGGGCGCTTGAATGGAGTTCAATTATCTGGTCAATTCGTAAAGTCCTGTCCAAACGGACACGAAAATTACAAGTACCGTATGCTAACGAAAATCTTAAAATCACTAGACAAGAAATAAAAATAAATCGAAACAGAGAGAAAGAAAAAATATCACAAGAAACAAAATAAAAGTAAATCATTAAAGGCCTATTAGCTTTTTACTCTAATGGTAGTTTTATGTACGGGCCCTGTCGAAAACTGAATTGTTTATGAGTTCATCTGAAGCAAAAATTCTCTCCATAACGCTACCATTCCATAATTCTTGCGCTTGACAGTTGTACAGGCCTTGTGAAAATCATCGAAAACTAATTTTTTTCAATGGTGTTCGTAAACTTAATTATTATAACCTGACTGTGACTCGACGACTCAGATATTTGACGACTTACCGGTATTCGATCATAAAATCATGTTTTTTGATCAGGGGCGTCGATCTATGGTTGAAAGTTCGTTGGAGGACGAAATGCAAAAAAAGCAAGGCTTGGTTGGGGCTGGTGGCCGAAGCCCCCGGAAGCTCTGGCGCCTATAGTCTTTTATAAGTTGTTTCTAATTGATTTTAAGGAATGCAATCAACTTTTATTTCCATACTACATTTTCAAAATAGTACGTGGCAGATCCAGGAATTTGAAATAGAGCTTGGCCCGGGTAGGGACGTTTACAGATGGAGCCCCACCATGGTTGGGGGCTGAGGTGGAGAAAATTTATGATTATGGCACTTCTAGTTGGCCGGAAATGGCACTCTCAGACTAAATTTTCATTTTTGTCCACTGGGCCCCTTGAATCTGTCACTGAAATACTCGTCATAAAAAGTTTTTAAAATTATCCTGGCAATCATAATTATTCCCGTTTATATATTTTGTGCAAACTAACATTCATAAAAATAATGATTTATTATCTACTGATTAGCATGTGCAGTATTTTTTAAATCAAGCAAGAGGTTTTCCCTTTTCTTCCCTCTTTTGTAAGTTCACTTTTGTGCAAGTATTATTGCGACTACACTGGGCCCCTTGAATCTGCCACGGGAAAACACTTCATAAAAAGTGTTTAAAATCATCCTGGTAATTATGCCCGCTTATAATATTTCGTGCAAACTAACATTCATAAAAAATAATGATTTATTATCTTCTCATTAGCTTGTGACGTATTCGAACCATGAAAAACAGATAAGATAAACTTAAAACAGTTATCAATTTTAGTCTACTTCTTGCATGTGCAGTACTTTTAAAAGCAATCAAGAGGTTTTTCCTTTAATTTTCTACACTTTTTGAATTTCACTTTTGTGCAAGTAGTATTGCGACTACACATGAGTGGAAATACTACCGTCTAAAGTAAGAGAAGGAGAATTTACGATGACAGGGAAATAGGAAGCACACACAACATTAGTTAGCATTTTTTGATTACCTCAACTCAGCCCCACCATTGGGGTTGAGGTAAGAAAACGTATGATTATGACACTTCTAGATGGCCGGAAATGGCACTCTCAGGCCTAAATTCTAGTTATAATTTTCCGGGTGATTTTTTTTTTTGCTGCTTGGAAAAGTGAACAGACAAAACATGACAGTCATGCGTAATTGTTATCTTTCCATTCGCTTTGTAAAGTGTGATTTTGATTATAGAAGATTTGTGAAAAGGTGGGGGGGGGGGCAATTGATATGATGTCCCCCCATGTTTTTGATTACCAACAGTTCTGAGACGTTCATCATTTACACATGCAATAAAAACATTCAATTTAACATTGATTACAGCCTTCCCCATCGGTATCATAGGCGGATTCAAAGGGGACAGCAGATTCTTTTACTTCTTTTATTTAAAACAAACCCATGTGTTTACCAATATGAGTAAATAAAAAATACAATAGACTAACCCCTCCTTGGGACACCCCTATATTAAGGGGGAACTTTGTTTTGTTCCCGAAGGGTGCTCGTTGTTGTATAAATACAAACAGATAATTTCAAATCCCGGATGTCAAAATAACAAATTATTTTATTTGGCCTTTCACGACTTTAATCAATTAAAGCATTAATTAGAATTTTATATACAACTTCTGCGAGTACTAAGTTTACATTTATGGCTTCATAAATTCTAAAAGAAGTTTCATCCTAAACTGAATTATTGGGTCCATCCAGGCATCTGTTTTCCAGGGTAGTTAAAACTTAGCTGATAACAACCCGTGACATTGCAGCATGATTTTGCATCAGCTACAAGCGGTGCTCGAGCTCAGTGTGAAGAGCTTACAACGTATCTTTTCATTGCATTCGGCATCGAAATTATATAGAAAAAAATGTCTTTAGAGGAAAAAAGTGCCTTTAGTAATGTAGTTTATGAAGTTGTTGTTGTTGGAGGTGGGGTGGCGGGCACATCGGCTGCATATCGGCTTAACAAAGTTCTCTCAAAGAACGACGACCCGGGCGACGAGCGTAGCGCCGATCAACTGGAACTTCAAGGTGGTAGCGGGGGTGTTGGCAATGGGTGCAAAGTACTCTTAATGGAGGCAAAGGGTAAGAAGAGGGCTAGACTCCGCAATGTTAAATGAATAGGCGGAGAAGTTTAATAGGCATTTATTTAGTTTACTGATTGATTTTCTTTGCAATATTTTACAGAAAGACTTGGAGGCCGAACATTGACAGAAAAAGTAAATGTCGAAGGTGGGCAGGAATTGTTTGACCTTGGTGGACAATGGATTGGAAGGTAATTCAAGATGACGTCACCATCACTCAAGCAGCAGAACCATAAGATAGGACTGAGAAAGAGATGACCATTACCCCCCGAGATGCAGATATGCCAAAAACTTTTTCAATAGTCAACCCCACTTTAATTTTGATGATAAAAAAATATGCTCCTCCTATAGTAAAAAAATGACTTATATCATTTTCTTTTTGCCAGCCAATCCCCCTCTCTCACTGATCACTTAACCTTCACCCCCTCCCAATAACTCCGCCCCATGTCAATATGCCATTGTAAATCTTGACAAAATAGCAGAACCAAACCGTATCGTCCAGTGTGGCATATATCTAGGAGTCCTGAGATGGGAAGGGGTATATGGAGTGGGGTACTCGAATAAATGAGGGGTGCCAGCTCACAAAATAAGGTGCCATGTGGTGATTTTTAACTACTAGTATCGCCCCCTAGATATGCCGCTGACCGTTTCGTAACATGATAAAAAACTTATTTTTAAATTTTCAGAACACAGCACCACATCTTATGGCTGATGAAGGAGCTTGGGTTGGAATACTACGAGCAGTACACAGCAGGGTCAAAGTTCCTACGGCTTAGTGATGGCAAGATCCGCAAATATAGCTCCAGTCTTCCAAAGCTCTCGTTTGTGGGGTTGCTTGATCTAGGGTCAGTGATGATGCAGGTAAAAAAATTTTTTTTGTGTTTGTAGCAGCAATTTTAATTATTATACTTATTTTGGACCATTTTTTGGGGCTGCTAAAATGTGGTCCTTAATTGGAGGTGGTCTTTCGTTTTGTGGGGCTCTTACATTAGCGGGAGACCTGTAGTTGAATAATTCCTTCTGCAGGGGTCCGATGTCTTCCGCAAGCTACAGTACCGCACGCCCCTCAAAAAATTACTCGCCCCCTCAGTCGCCCCCCAAAAGTCACTTGCAAGTAGCTAAAATTCACCTAAAATCATCTTATTTTGTGAGTTAGCACCCCTCAACTGATCATCGAGCACCCCCACCCCAACTTCACCTTCACGCCCCCATTTCAAGATTTCTAGATACGCCACTGTATAATTATTATTAACTCTCTCCCAGAAGTGAGCAGGTGAATGGTATCGCAATACACAGCAAAATAAAAATTAAATGTGTTAAGGAAGCTAGTCATTTAAACAATTCTCTTGGAAGTTTTTGCTTCCAACTTGAGAACCCTGCTTCTGTAGCAGGTGTAGTAACTATCTAAGTAGCATGTTGCTTAGATTCCATCTGTAGCACTCGAAACTATTTACGTAACAAGTTGCTTTATTAGATTTCTCCTTTAGCAGGTGTGAATGTTCACCACTAATTGTTTTTAATTGGAAAATGTTCAGAATTAACATTTATTCCATCATTTTTTAGATAAATCGTATGGCAAAGAAAGTTCCTCCTGATGACCCTCGTAAATGCAAGCAAGCCGAGGAGTGGGATAGCATCACAGTTAGCACATTTCTGAAGAAGAATATGTGGACCAAAGGTATTAAATTAACGGGAGGATCCAGAGGAGGACAAAGTGCCAGGAGAGGAATCCTGAGCATATGTCTTCTGTGTTCCGCTGAAGTCTGCCCCATGAATAAATTAACACAAAAACACTAAAGGTTGAATTAGTGACATCACCACCCTCAATAGAGTACCACAGTCATGTCGTCACAACGCCAGGTTGTAGCCAAGCAGACGTTAGTTTCCATTCATCACGCCTGAATGACTTCATAGGCTTTCTGGAAAAAGCATTTTGAAATCTAATATTTTACCATCAAAATGTACTAAAAACCAAAAGCTCGCATTATATTCGTTATCGAACACACACTTAATCATCAATTAAAATTTTCAAAGAAAAAGTAAGGTACAACATCTTAATAATTACTTTAGAAATTTGGATCAATGGTTTGTCAGTGGAGAAAATGGCATCCAGTTGAATACTTTTTGCAACGATAGCAACAGAGTAGTATCACATGGTATTGTGATGTAACACTGTAGTACTCTATGATAATGGATTTATATAGTGCTTTACACCAAATTCTGAAAGTGCTCAAAGCATGGACTTGGAACTCTATCAATGACTTTTCTTTTCTAAGGGCCACTTCGTCTCTGTGCTACCCGGTAAACCGGTACCAGCAGCTCTCGCCGTCCACCACGGCTGTCTGTACCAGTGCATCGGAGTATCCCTCTACTATTCTCAAATGATGTACAGTACTGGGTTCTTTATAGTGCACACGAGTCATTGTGTACATTGGGCCTATGATTTATAATCCTTATCCAAGAAAACTTGCTCTACCACAGGAAGCATAGGCGAGCATGTTGCTCGAACCAGCACCGATATGGTTGTAGTTTGCGGCACATCTGCTAACCGCTCGGCCATTCGACTTGCTGGAGTAGACAAATATAATTTCTCATAATGTTCTCAATCCTTTTCTAGAGACTTGTGATTCAACCAGCTTGCGGCCATTATTTAACCTTCATTCTGATTATGTTAACATTCACACCCCTACTTAATTCTTATGCCTCCTACTGCTTGTGTGATTATGAGTTCCCTACCTATCAGGTCTATAGAGCTTTATGTGGTCTGGCAAGTCTGCTCATGACTGACATTGGACATCTTAAACTAATGATGGATCTTTCTTATTATTTTACCTTAATACTACCCCTCCTTTTATTTACACTCTTATTTAACAGTTTGGCTGTACCTACCAGAACCAGAACCCTTGCAATCCCCATATGTCCCAACCCTCGATATTTAATCATTGCTAGTACGTAGTCAAATATATTGATTTCTCATAATTCTCTTGACATTTTTTTCTAGAGGCTCATGAATCGCTTGAGATTGCTATTTCCATAATATTTGGTACAACTCCGAAAGAACTTTCCCTGTTATATTTCCTTCATATTGCGAGTGCTGCTGGGGGCTGCGAAGCACTGGTAGAAACCGCCAAAGGAGGAGCGCAGGAATTTCGCATTAGGGTAAATTTCGTTCCAAAAAATCTGACATTACATTAAAATGTTTCAGACAACTAATATATAAATCGGGGCTCACTCATATTCACTCTGCCTAGAGGTCGTCAGCCGACATGATTTTATGGAGGACGCAATGATACACGCATAACCATCCATTTGTGACCCAAGCTCATAAAAGGGCTGTAAACTCGTCCTCAGGCCAAAACAAGTTTTTGTTATAATGGCATAGGACATATCATTTACTTTAAAATGACAGTTAAATAAACTCAATCAGGTGTCTGGAAGCAAAGTTATGACCGTTTGAATAATTGTCATCTTATCAACTTTCTTAAATCAAGTTTTGAGAAAAATGCTTTTATTTTCGGCAGGTTCCTTTTCATTTTTCACTAGCTCCCATCCGAAAATAACTAAATTTTACCTCTTACAGTTGGAATTTCAAACTCAAACTTCAGGAATAGTAAGAATAATAGTTTTACTTTATTTATTACACAAAACCCAATTCACACAAAACGTTCTACGCCCTATTCTGGCTGTTGAGGCTTGTTTCTCAATACAGTGCAGTTCGAGTTTACAGCCATTTTGTGAGCTTGGGTCACATTTTTTATGATGATTTGTTCAGCCTGCCACCGACAATCAGCAGACGGCATCACGTAATTTAGGGCGCACAAGGAGTGGAGTTGGATTTTTTATACAACGCAGCAAGTGCCAAGGATTAAAAAACAATTCTCGCAGAATCAGATTGTCATATTTTTAGTTGACTCTCATTTATGTATTTATTTCTTTGAATAATTCATCCAATGTCAGCATTCCCAACTGTCCATCATTTGATTGGCTATCACGTCCATAGTTCATCCTTTGTGATCACGTTCAGCTCTCTTTCCTTTGATTGGTTGTTATTTTTATTAATTATTCATGAAATATGATCATCCTTAGTTGTCTGTTCCTTGATTGGCTATCACGTATAATGTATTAAGTGATTAAGAATTATTTTACTGTTTCCATAATCTAATAATATTTGTCAGGGTGGTGCTCAGCAAATCTCTGAAGTTATAGCAGAGAAGATTGGTTCAGTGAATGTATGGTTGGGCGAGCCTGTAAAACTTATTGACCAATCAAATGAGGAGTTTGTAACAGTTGTAACCGAGTCTGGAAAAGAGGTGAAGACAAAATATGTGATCGTGTCAGCTCCCATTCATTGTGTTGGTAAGTTGATATACTGTACATATCAAATCTTATACCAAAGATCTGGGAATGAGCAGGTACTTCATGGGCACATAACCAGAAATTCGGCTCATGAGATACATTGGCTCATGAGCAATTGAATAAATGAGCAAGGGATTAATGCTCAATATTGTTAATAGAATTGTCTTGTATTAACATAGATGAATATAGTTAAAATCTCTTTTTGTCAAGATCTTTCCTCGTGATTATTTCCAGAAAATATTGTGTTCAAGCCAAGCTTGCCCATGGACCGTCATTTCCTTGCCCAAAGGATGCCTGTTGGTCACCTACTGAAGTTCATCGTCACCTACAAAAAAGTAAAACCTGACAACTTTTTTTTCCTATAATAATAATAATAATAGTATGATAATAATAGCAAGACAATAATGATTGTACTCTGAGTTCAACAGGAGTCCCGTCCCAGTAAGTGACAATATGCTGTATGAGCAGAAAATGATCCTTGACTCATGCAAAAAGCATGAATCGTTGACGTTATGACGGCTATACTACTGTAGGGGAGAGCAGTGGCGGCTCGTCTAGGATATATTTTCTGGGGGTGGGGGCTGAGCTGTCCGACGGGGGAACTTGGGCTCGTTGGCCCAAGCTGGGGGAGGGGTTTTAGAGGGGGGACTTGACCTGTCCGGTGGGGGGTGGGGCTTAAGCCCCTGCTGTTTTGTTGGCAAACTTCCAGAGCCACCGCTAATGTGTATATATATGTTTGTGAAAGGGATTGTCACTTAAAGTGTGTTCACAATATGAAGTTTTATGTGACAATATCTGTGATTTGGCCAGGACATATGGGAAAATCCTAGGTATTTGTCACATACAACTTGTCAGTGTGAAAAAACATTAAGACATTGATATACAGTATTGCCTGAGTATATAAAAAATTTCTTTAAAAATTGTATGCATGTTTTGTCACTTAGGCCTTTTGGAGAGAAGCTGGCCTGTCTGGCGAGATAGTTAGCTTAGGTGGTGGCCCAGTCATCGACGGTTGCGATACTGGCCCCATTCAAGTGGTCTATGACGCGGTCACTGATAATGGAGCTCCTGCCTTGGTTGGCTTCTTTGCAAGTTCACGTCAATGGCGTAAAATTGAGGTAATGTAATGTGGCTTGACACTGTCTCTTATACACATCTAGATGTGTATAAGAGACAGCACACAACTTGTCAGTGTGAAAAAACATTAAGACATTGATATATTGCCTGAGTATATAAAAAATTTCTTTAAAAATTGTATGCATGTTTTGTCACTTAGGCCTTTTGGAGAGAAGCTGGCCTGTCTGGCGAGATAGTTAGCTTAGGTGGTGGCCCAGTCATCGACGGTTGCGATACTGGCCCCATTCAAGTGGTCTATGATGCGGTCACTGATAATGGAGCTCCTGCCTTGGTTGGCTTCTTTGCAAGTTCACGTCAATGGCGTAAAATTGAGGTAATGTAATGTGGCTTTACCTGATTAAATCAGGGAGAAATTTGATTTTATACCTGAACGAACAAAATCATTACCGAAAACTTTCCTGGGGGCTACTGGGATTATGTGTGGACGCACCCCATACAGACCGAAACAGGCCTATGCCACTGTTCTTATCATTATTATGTTACGCCAATTTTTCAGCAAGGTCCGCAATCTCTATAACAGTCTTAGTGTTTGAGTGTCTTTACTATTAATTGTTTTTTCCTTTTTTTTCTCAGGTGTCTGTAAGGAGAAAAGAGGTGGTAAAGCGACTAGTGGAATTTTTTGGCCCCCAGGGTGGCGATATAATTGATTATGCTGATAAGGTAACATTTTTTATTCCTGCGTTTAAACTTCCACTTCCCATCTGTCAAAATATTAAAATTTTCAAAAATATGGTTGTGCTGTTTGTTGTTTTTTTCAACATTTTGCAGACGTTTTATAATATGTGAGACTGGAAAAATATCTGTTTTAGTTTCATAAGACGCATTTTCTATGTCAGAGACCTGGCATTAGAGCCCATTTTCAGGCATCTAGAGGTGAAATAACCAAACTGTTTTCACCTCAGCCACAACAATAGTGGGGCTGAGGTAGGTGTGACCCAGGTACCAGGGAATGATAAACCACCTGTGTGGAAAATCCTGACGCCAGATATGTTAGCATTTTAACCTCCTTCTTGTAACAAATTGAAATTATGAATTGTTTGTTCTAGGATTGGTCAGAAGAGCCATACAATGGTGGATGTCCAATAAATATCATGACAACTGGTGCGATTACACTCTTTCACGATGCCTTACGGAAGCCATTTGATAGGTCAGAATCGATATTATTTCTCCTTGTTCTAATTTGAATGCTAAAATAACTTGCTTGAATATACTGTACAAATTAATTCAAATGTTTAATTGTTTTGCTGAAGTTGTATAACTCAGCCAGTGCCGTATCTGAAAATGGGGGCTGGTAAGTGGACACTAATGTGAAGTGTGAAGGCTCGATGGTAAGGGGTTGCGAGCCTGCAAAATACAGTAACGTGATATGAGGTAATTTTTTAACTACTTGAGCATGTGTTTTTTCTTTTTCAATGGGGGGTGATGCACCACCACTGTGCACCCACTAGATATGCAGCTGAGCTCAGCATGGGTATTATCAATAGCATTCTAGTACTATACTTTCTAAGTGCTGAATACACTTTTTTTTGCCTTTTTTCAGAGTACATTGGGCTGGTACCGAAACTGCCACTGTGTGGTTTGGTTACTTAAGTGGAGCTGTCCAGACAGGCCTAAGAGCAGCTGATGAAATTCTCAACAGAATTGATCCGTCATTGACTCAAGATGGCCTCCTGAAGTCACTTGACAATAAGAGCCTTGTGCCTACAGACACTATTGGCCAAGTTTAAATTCTCAAAAGTAATTCTTGACCTTAGGTCAAATATTCCTTGACCTCTGAAAGCGTTTAAAGCAGTTTAACTATGCTGTTTAAATGATTTGAGTGCTTTTGTTTGATGGAAATGAAAATACAGTAACAGGACGTACCTTGTTTGCCAATATACTTTTTAGGAGTGTTTTAATTTACAACTAGTTACAACTGACCATGTACAAGACATTTAAAAATATGGAGCTACAGGAGCGTAAATAGAAGCATAAATAGACAGGATTGATTTTCTTATATTTTGCATCAATTTTCGTTCTTCAAATTTTAATTATACCCATTTTAATGGTTGAGGTGTTGCTTTCTTAATGCACTTTAACCCAAGGCGCAGATGCCTCTCCATACTGCTATATTTTGTGAATTGATATATTTACATTATTTTAATTAAGAAACACCAGATAATAAATAAATAATAAATTTAGTAGAATCATTTATTATTTTTACGTTTCTTAAATGAATTGTGAAATTGTATATTAATATTGTTTTATGAATTATTGATTTTGTAGATATATATTGAATTGTTGTACATAATTGATATATTAACTTTTTAATTGTAAACTTTGTAAGATGTTATTGCATAATTTAATTCTTTCATAATTGAGTGATTTGTATTTGTAAATTTTGTATATTTCTGGATTTTTATGATTGATGTTTTTAATATATTCTATTTTCTAATTGTATATATAAATAAATATATAAGTACAAAACTCTCTTCAGCTTTGACTACTATTGGTTTGTATATGTGTGATTATACACATCTAAGCGAGTTGTATAGGTGGCAAGAATTTAGCACAAAAGATTTTCTAAAACGATCGTGATTTCCTTTAGGTGGGCGCAGTCTAATTCCTGATCTATTAAAAACATAGAACTCATTTAGTGGGTGTGTAGGGTCGTCAATGATCAGTTTAATTTTTTTTAAACCCTTTCTTCAAAGATATCATCAATAGTTGGTAGGTCAGCACAAATAATTTTGCCAGCCCGTTTCCTAATTTTCTCTAATTGTTTTTTATTTTCACATGCCAGCCCCGCAAATAATGTAATGAGATTTACAGTAAGCACACTCTGAATAACACATCTATAAAACGTCATGAGAATTGCATTGTTTACATTATATTGGCTCAATTTCGTCAGAAAATACAAACGTTTGTTAGATTTTTTAAAAACTGTATTAGTTTGAGAAATAAACTTGAGATTTTTATCAATTATAGTTCCGAGATATTTTTGTTCATTGACTTTTTCTATTTGTTCTCCTTTAATAGTAAGCTCAGTATGGGTACAGATTTTCCTCCTATTGTCGAAAACAATGGACCTTTCCGCTAAGCTCCGCCCCTTGGATATTGTTGCTAAGGTCTCACAAGACGACAGTGTTAAAACATATGCGAACACGTGCGTTTGTGGGACAACACGTGTGTTTGTAAGACGCGCGCGTATTCCTAGCGCTGTTCTGATTAGTCAGTTGTTAAGTTTGATCGACACTCCGGAAAGGTCTATTTCTTTGGTTTTACTCATGTTAAGCTGAAGATAATTTTGTTCACACCAGTCCACAAATCTGTTTACCTCATGGACATATGGTGATACATCAGATCCATTTAGGTACCCTGAAATTACTGTCATCCGCGTATTTGATTATTGAAGTTACAATATGAATATTGAATACAATATTTATCTAACTCATTAATTAATTTTTGTAATTTTAATTGGGACTCTGCTATTAGCGCAATATCATCTGCAAATAAAATATATATAAGTTTAATCATTCCTAATCCACAACCACCGGACTCATAAAATTAATAAATAAGCAATTGAATTTAGGCTCGATTATATTAATATCTCATTATTTTGAATTAGCGCTTCAATGTCATTTAACACATTATTTATCTTGATTTCGTTTTCATTTTATATATAACCTTCGTAGTCAAAGTAATAACTTGGTACCTGTTGTCTGGAGTTCGTCCCTTCATTTACATATGTCTGTTTTACTAAAATTTATATTAAAGATTAAGGGAAAGTGGTTTGATTCTATTAGGCTACCTATTTTAAAACTACTATTTTGGTGAAGAACAGAGTAGATGTAATCAAATAATCATTAACACTTTTGCCATTATAATTAATACATGTAAATTCGCCCTTTTCGTCATCCTTTCTCCTTCCATTAAAATATGCACATTGATGTATTTTTACATAACTCAATCAGCTTTTTTCCATAGTCATTAAGTTTTACAATCAGAGTTTGATCTATTACATAATGACGTGCCTATTATATTTCATACTCATTGTTATCAATTGGGAGGCAGTTAACATCGGCAAATAAATTGGTACGATCGAGAACTCCAGTCCGGGCGTTAAAGTCTCCAAAGAATATAAAATTTGTAATATTGTATTTAGCACGTATTTCTGACATAGTTCAAAATTCTCAAATACGTCCGTTATCATCATTATAATGTGCACATTGCAACCGGACCATCCGCACTAACCAATATGCCATCTGCTGTGACATATGTGACTCTTGGTTCCACCGGAATTGTAGCGGTCTAAGCAAGACTGAGTTCCATTTCCACTTTACTGAAAATACCTACTGGAACTGTCAAGTCTGCACTACCGCAATTTTCTGACTCTCTTTTTCTGGACACAACGGACCATGAAGTACCGGTAGATTATAATAATCACTCCGATAAAGATGAAGGTTTTATTCTTAAATCTTTAGTTGCCTCACAAAGGCAAGGAGTGAATGTAGTACATATCAATGTGCGTAGTCTCATGCCAAAATTGGACGAAATTTTGCATTTGATTAGTATTTTTAAATATCCATGTATTTTGTCATTGCGGAATCCTGGACTACTCCAGATATTCCAAATATTATTACAGTACCTAAGTTTTGACCTTTTCAGGGCTGAAAGGTCTGACAAAAAGGGGTGGCATAATCATTTATGTATCAGATTCTCTCCATTCCAGGATGGTGATTAAGCACATGTGCCCTGACCTTGAATACTTAGTTATTGATGTCAGACTTCAGAGACATAGACATCTTCATGTCGTTGGTGCATAGGCCACCTGGAGGCTCCCAACCTGTTTTTTTGGAAATAATAACCGAAACTCTCCAACACCTTATGCAGTTAACTTCCTTTTCTAACCTTATCTTAACCGGTGATCGTAACATTAATTTGTTAAAGGTACCAGAAGATACAGGGAAGAAAAAATTAATTGGCTTTTTGGAATTTGAATTAACTCAACATGTTAAAGAGCATACGAGATGTGAGGGAGGTAGTGCATCCCTAATTGACGTTATGGCTTCCAGTAGGTCGACCCTTTTAGACGATGTTCATGTACTTGACATTGGCATTAGCGACCACTCACTTCTATATGGTTTGATACCCACTGTTATACCTCCTTTAATAGAACCCCAAACCACCTCTTTCCTCACTCTCCAAGGATGTAATATTGATTCTCTTATCCAAGACCTTAATAATGTCGACTGGACAAATCTGACCGATCTTGTCGATATTAATGAAATATGGTCTGAATGGAAAGCTTTGTTCACACATGTTCTCGATAAACATTATGTAATTAACACTTCACTTTCATTTATCTTCAATCTGTGCATTACACAGGGTGTCTTACCCTTGGAACGGAAGACAGCAGTTGTTCGACCCATTCACAAAGGGGGTTCGCATACTGATATAAGCAACTATATAGACCAATTTCAATCATGCCCATAATTGCTCAAGTTCACGAGAGAATCGTCTATGAGCAAACCTTTAACTTTCTTGACAAACATTCAATACTTCTGTCCTGTCAGTTTGGCTTTCGACCTACCCATTCGGTCCAGGATTTACTAGTTAAGTTAGTCAACGAAGCCAGGTTGGCATACGACAAAAATCATGTTCTAGGTGCTGTCATGATTGATTACTCTCTGGCTTTTGACTCTTTTGACTTCTTCAAAAATTACATTCGATTGGCTTTCACGGTAAATGCTTATCAAAGAGTGAAATGCTGTGATTCTCTTTCTCAGTGGACTCCTGTATTACGAGGCGTCCCCCAGGGATCTCTCTTGGGTCCGCTTCTCTTTTCTACTTATTTGTATGACAAGCCTTCAATAATCAGTTCTTGCTCCTTACTACAATATGCAGATGGCACTACTTTATACTCTACCGGACCAAATTGCGAAGTTGTAACATATAACCTCTCAACTGACCTCAAAATAACTGATACTTGGGCTTCTGATAACCACTTAAAAATTAATACGAAAAAAACATATTCCATGTTTTTTTGTAATGAATAAATTCCGTAGTGAGATTCATCCAATTATCATTAATAATTCAGTTTTTGAAGTTAAGTCTTCGTCTAAACTCCTTGGGGTCGTATTAGATGAAAAACTAACATTCCAAGAACATGTTAAATACGTTAGTATTAAATCTAGAGTAGCTCTTAGATGTCTGTGTCATTTAGGTTTCCTACCACTTGATGTTAAAATCACCCTGTTTAACAGTCTTGTTCGTCCTTATTTAGAATACTGTAGTATTGCTTGGTCTCAGACTTATAATTTCATTCTTCATCCTTTATATATTATCTTTAATAGAGGGATCAGGTTTATCAAACGCTTAAGTCCCAAAACCGCTACTTAACTTAACTTAATGGATCTCTCCACACGGTGGCAATTCCATACTATTCTTTTTATTTTTAAATGCTTCTATTCATTGGCTACTTCTCCGGTTATCGATCTCATTTGTAAAAGAACCTCTATCACCTCTAGGGCCGGAAAGGGTTTATACAACATCTACCCTTATAAAGCTTCTCGAAACTATGGTAGAAATTTTATTGGGTGTTGTGGAGCTAACTATTGGAATTCCCTTCCTTTCACAATTAAATTCAGTGAGGGATTGTCAATTTCTTCCTTTAAAAGGATACTTAAGCTTCATCTCCTTGACGTGACCGGTACACATAACATTGTTTGATGTATTTGGTTGTTCTTGTTTGGGCGTGCTTCTTTTTTACATAATGATATATTTTTTTACATAGTTTTTTAAGGAAAATAATAAAATTTAATAATGATTTATTTTTATACTATTTAAAAAAAAATATAAAAACATTTATTGACGTTTCTTTTTTCTCTATGAATGTGCTGTTTTTGCTGTTTGCTCTGCTTTTTGTCTCTTTTTTAAATTTGTCTGTTGTGATGCGGACTTTGCTGAGTGGGACATTTCCTCTTAAAATATTAATAAAAAGAAAGATAGCTAGATGAAAAAATATATAATGACAAATTATGAATGGGTCTGAATTACCTGGAAGAACAGCTTTAAGCCAAATAAAATCATCATCAAATTCTAATCTTTTAACATATTTTGATAATTCACATTTTACAAATAACAGTATACCGCCCGACACGGCCCTTCCTTTTTTCGAAGCTTTTTTGCTCGGTCGTTAAACGAAACATATTCTTCTATACAAAAATCAGATTAAAGGCCTGTTTATACTTGCAACGACAACGATAACAATAAAAAGCTAAATAGCAAATGTTCATATAGAAAATAAGAGAAGTTTTTACAGTAAGAAGATTCGATAACGATTTATCATGTTTACGATAAACAACATATTTTGACAAATCAATTCAGATGACGTCATAATCATGGAAAACGATAAAATCGTAGTAGTAACAATGATTTTATCGTTTTCCATGATTATGAGGTCATTTGAATGGATTTGTCAAAATATTTTGTTATTGTATACACGATAAATCCTCATCGAATCGACATAATGTTTCCATGGCTCTATATTCAATCGACGTCGTTCAAATACAGTGTTCTAATAAAGGACATGATACTCTCAACCAGTGGCGTATCTGAAGTCTTGAAATGGGGGTGCTGATTTGGGGCGCGAAGGTGAAGTAGGGGGACTCGATGATCAGTTGAGGAGTGCTAACTCGCAAAATAAGGTGATACTTGAAAGTGTTTTTTTAGGGGGGGGGGCGACTAGGTGGGGGCGCGAGTAATTTTTGAAGGGGCGTGCACCCCTCCCTCAGCTCACCCTCTACATACGCCACTGCTCTCAACGAATGTAATAAACAAATGAATAATAATAATAATTGTGTAATAAAATGCTTCTGACGGGATTCGAACCTTCAATTTCTCGCTGTCAAGGCGAGCGTCATAACCATTAGACAACAGATGCTTCATGGTTGAACACATTCAAATAACCGCCAGATACACTCTATTACACAATAGGCCTAGGTACAGCTGAAAATAAATAGTTGTATATGATATAATTCAAGATAGCTGTAAACACTTTTAAATTATATATAATTTAAGACTGTTTACTTATATATAAAACCGACAGCGACAGCGATATATTAAAAAAAATATGTTAAAGATGGGTGGTTACACCCATTTCCCCCCACAGGAATCTCATTCACCGTTTTCTAGTTTTTCGTCAAACAACTTATCTCTGTCGATCAGTTACAATTTTAATATCAAAATTGTTTTATCTCCGGAGCCTGACTGTTTCACGACATATGCGATCATCAGGTGATGAATGAGAAGAGTGTGTAGTGTAATTTAATTGTTTCCTGATATAACATAGGTTTGCTTAGCTAACGGGTGAGGATTCGGAACCGTGACGAAATACTTTACTTAACAGCATAGTTAGCAAGCACTTCGTGCCGGCATTTGGGTATAAATTCCGTTCGTTTGTTTAGAGTAGAAAACACAGACTCTTAAACAAACACATCATCATCAAGAACCTTAAACAAACAAACACACACATCATCACGAGTGGCAAAGAACTTCAACAAACGAACACATCATCACGAGTAGCAAACACAGTATTGTGAAATGCAGTTACACTCAACCCTATCGATCGAGAAAAATGTTGTTTTTGGGAACTAAAACCGTTGCACAATAATATGGTATTTATTGGATTGACTTTTTCATCAGTGGGCACATATCAGACAATACCTTATGGTGCATCCATAAGAAAAAAGTGTAAAGAAATTAAATTGAAAACAAAAGGAACAACATGGATGAATTAAAGGCCTATGTTACAGAATGACAGAGATGGTTATTGATGGTAACTTACAGAAGTAAAATACATGGATACATAACTTGGCGTTCATAATGGAATAATTATGGTTAAAATATATAGACCAATTAAATAAGATACAATTAAATAAAATACTGTAAAAAGACAGAAGTTTAAACAGTTTAATTAGTCAAACAAAGAATAGAAAATTACATTACAAAGAGTACAGTAGTAGGCCTATAAACAAAACATTCAATTTGAATTATTGGCATCAAATAATGTTGAATATATATTACAGTAGTTGTTTACTGGAAAAGTGTTATGAATGTCATTGCGTTCTTCCATGCATAAATTAAATTTATTTTATTTTATTTCAATTACATCCAACAGCGGAATCGCCCATTATAGCATGTCTTAAACATACAATATATAAAAATTGATTTTTAGCAGAAAATATATGTATAGGCCTATGCAGATTTTTGTATGATCGGAAACAAATGCAAGAAAAGAAAGAGGGGAGAAGGAGGAGAGGAAGGGGAAAGACAGGTGTTCATCCAGTTCCCGACGGAGTTACATTTTCTCGCAATTCACATTGGTGCACCTCGGGGTCAGGAGTCTGACCCACCCCGCCAAAAAAAATTAAAAATTCTAGCCCTACCTTTTGAGGACCCGTGAGCTGATTTTTCTTCTTTTTTGTGTTACAATAAGAAAATTAGCAGTCGAGAAAGCTCTTTTTCCGCCATCTAGGAATAACTTTTTTCCCAGGGAGGACCCCGACCCCATTTTCTTTTGGGGATTTATCGATTCACAGAAAAAAATAATACGGTATAGACCTACGTATGCAACGTATGTATACCGGTACACACATAAAAAGGCCTATTGAGAAATGAGAAAAATTTACCTGACCGTTTTCAATAAGGAAAAGCTTATTTCCCGCCATCTAGAAATTCCCCCCAGGGAGAACCCAAACTCCCCTTTGGGGCTCATTTCCCGCTATCTAGAAACCGAAATTCTCCCGGGGGGGGGGGGACCTGGACCCCCGTTTTTCTTTGGGGTTCATCGATTCATGGAATCGAGCTCAGTTATTTGCCACTTAGTTTAAACCAACCATGGTGGGCTGAGGTGACGTGGCGGCGAGAACTTCATATTGTGCCCCCGCCCCCTCCCAGTCAGAAATTCTCACCTCAAAAGTCGGGAAAGCTAATTTCCCGCCTTCTATGAATAAAAATTTTCCCAGGGAGAATCCCTTGCCCCTTTCTCTTTAGGAATTTATCGATTCATGGAAAAAAATACCTATGCGACCGTCCTACTCAATTTTTTTATGTTACACACGTAAACAGACCATATTTAATGTATTAAGAATAAAAAAGTTTACATGACAGTTTCCAAAAGAAGCAAAACCTTGAATTTTCAAACTTCAAAGTCATTAAAAGACACCTCAAAAAAGTAGGGAAAGCTTATCCCGCCGCCATCAGGCATCAAAAAGACCCCCTTCCTTTTTGGGGTTTTAGGGAAAAGGTTGACTCCTACCCCCTAAATTTGAACCCAGATCCCGGTTGATTCATATTCCATTCATTTTACTAGTGGCCCCTCCCCCCACCCCACTTTGAAAAACATTCCGCCGGCCCTGTCACGGCATAGACATCTTTCTGTAATTTGTATTGGTATTCATTGTGAATTACTAGGCCTACTGTAGATCATCGAAAAATAGGTGATATTTCTGAGAGCCTGTAGTGAATAATTTCAAAGTACATATTAAATTGTGATGTATGTCTTCTTTAAATTCTTTGGTTTCCTAATATGCTTCAATCTGTGCAGTTAAATATGAAATAATAAATTGTTTCCTCTCCACCACAATTACACAGGCCTATTAAGCGTAGCACAGACCTAAATTTTGAGATGACCATGTATCCTTTCTTTCTTCAAGAGGTAATGAATTATAACGAGCTTTTTTAAACTTGACGCATGGTACCGTAGGTAAACTTTTCCAATAAATACTTTTCCATTTTTGATATTTTTATATATCAAGTAATTAGTTAAAGAAGATTTATATATTAGTTTGAGCCTTATCAAACCACTTTATGTTATTTTATAAAATATTTTTTCCCTGAAAAAAGGCCTAGCGCGTTCAGTATTAAACATAATTTGTAAATCACATTTATCAAAAATATTTTCAGTGTCTCTGAGGTGTTTTGATATCCGGTGACAGATCTAATAAAAGTATATAGGCTCGTGAGCACAATCCCGTGATCATATGCTCGTGACACATTGTTGTATTATATTGTATTGTATAGACGAATTTATTCGCGCGAATCGACCTATACGCATGCGCAGTTTAATTATCATCGCGAGAGACTCAATTGCGCATGCGTATAGGTAAACATTTGCGGGGAAAACGCCCTTAATTTACAGCTGCCGCGGTGGTATTCAATCAATCAATCGGTGTATATATACGGCTGTGTTTCATTCATTTGTATTTCAACATTGAATATATGGCTAAATAATACAAGAGAGTTGTTATAAGATACATTAAAAAAAATGTCTTTAGAAAAGGAACGTGTCTGCGATAATGTAATTTATGATGTAGTTGTTGTTGGTGGAGGCGTCGCGGGCACATCGGCTGCATATCGGCTTAACCAGGTTCTCTCCAAGAAAGGTAGCGGGGATATCAAAGTACTCCTGGTAGAGGCAAAGGGTAAGTGGTCTAGCTCTTGGTTCCCACTAGGACGCAACGCAACGACGACGCAGAAGTAACGTATGGACGCAAAGTGACGCAACGCGAGCCTGGGTTCGGCGGCTTCCAAGTAGGAACCGACGACGCTACTCAACTTTTGCGTTTTATATTGCGGATCGTCTTTGCGTTGTTTTATTTGTGTATTCTTTAAAAGTTGAATACATAGCTTTACGCAAAGCAAGGAAAATGATAATTTGAGCATACTCTAACCGAGGGATTTGTAGTTAGTGCTTTTGTATAGTTATATATATGCTACGCATCTATACCCAACCGTTCTTCAAAAACTAGTATTTATATATTTATACAGGGGTGATGACAGGATCGGGTGGGGAGGGAGATCTACCCACTGCCCACCCCTTCCCCGGTCAGGGAGAAAAAACACAAGTCGTCGGGGAGAAAAAAATTTAGGCCTGTGTCTTTTTACATAATTAGTAACCTCTAAAATCGATTACATCGCAAATAACCTTTTATTTGAAACCCCGCCGGAAACTCCTTATTGTCATTTTTTGGGGCTTATCAAGAGATCACCACGCCCACTTTTTTCGTCTGTAACATATCTCGCCACACCCACACCCAGTCGGACAAATTCTGGCGCGCCACCCCTGATATTACATTGATTTATATATTTTTCCTGATTCTAGCACAGTAAAAATCATTGCGTTTATGTGCAGTGGTAGGTGGGAACTGTATCAAAGTTCGAATTCAACTTTCAACTTGCGTACGTTGCGTTGCGTACGTTGTCGCGCTAAGTAGGCCCTCTTCACACTGTTATTATAAACATGCAGAAATACAGTATCTTCGCAGTAATACAACTTGGCACTTTTAATTACAGACAGACTTGGAGGTCGAACACTGACAGAAAAAGTAAATGTCGAAGGTGGGCAGGAATTGTTTGACCTTGGTGGACAATGGATTGGAAGGTACAGTAATTCAAAATGATGTCACTATCACTCAAGCGGCAGGATGAAGACACTCAGGGAGACCAAAGAAAAAATATCTAGTGAGAAAAAACATCCACTGGCTGCACGTGGGTGGGGAGTAGGGTGACTGGGGTGCATGTCCCCGGGCCAGATGGTCGATATCCTGTTCACGAATGCCAGATTGCTGAGACCAGTTTGCTGACCCAAAAACTGACGCGGGTATAAGCCTCCCCCTACACAATATTGCGTCAAGTTTGGTGGGGGGATGTGGGTGGGCTTATCCAAAGGATCCAAAAATGCAGATAGTCAAAAATAACACATAGGGCCTAATTTGTAGGAATTTGAAGCAATGGCGTATCTAGAAATCTTGAAATGGTGGGGGGGGGGCTGATTTTTTTTTTTGGTACGCCACTGATTTGAAGGTTTTAATATACAAATTCTATTGTACAGCGTCTCAATTGTCTTTTGTGTTAAAAGCCAATGTCCTACGGTAGCCCACAACTGTCACGCACAATTTAAATAGAATATCGCAACAAATTCAAATGTACCTCGCACAATTACAGAAGTCCGCAACAAATTCAAAACTATAGGCTCGCACAATTAAAGAAGTCCGCCACAAATTCAATAGTTCCCAGCGCACAATTAAAGAACTCTGCAACAAATTCAAAAGTACCTCGCACAATTAAAGACATATTAAAAGTTCGCCGCACACAATTACATAACTCTGTTCTTCACCCAAAAAATTCGCCCACAGGAATGTGGGCGCATTACTTCAAAGACAGATGTAGGTCAATACAGTAGGTTTGACTAGGTAATACCCTCTATACAGTACACAGTACAGTATGTGTACCTGTCATTTGGGGCCATTTTTCCCGGGCCTTTTTTCTGGGATCTTTTTGTCCGTGGCCATTTTTTCAGGGACCATTTTTTCCAAGGCCTTTATCTACTGGTACATTCCAGTACAGTAGTATACTGCTGTACAATAATAATTTTCTATGTTTGAAATGTGTGTAAAATAAGAACAAAATAAGAACATTTTGAGCCTGAAATCAACCAAAAAATAAGAACACTGAGCCTGGGCAAAATTTTACTGGTTTTAATAAATTAAAAAAAAGTGTACTTGGTCGGCCGTATAGTACGTAAATGCATCTGATTTACGATGTATTTCAAGCTGTCAACTCAAACTTTAAAGAATATTTAGGCATTTCATTACAAAATAATTTATTACTGCACTCAAATCTTTGGGCGGGGATTATACACCCGAGTACCTCATTTTGCATGAAAATTACGCCAAAGTCAGGGGTGGGCCTATACCCGATTTCAGAAATAACCTGTAATCTCATGTTTGTTTTTTTCCTAATTTCAGAACACAGCACCACATTATATGGCTGATGAAGGAGCTTGGGTTGGAATACTATGAGCAGTACGCAGCAGGGTCAAAGTTCCTGCGGCTGAGCGATGGCAAGATCCGCAAATTTAGCTCCAGTCTAAAGGTCTCGTTTGTGGGCTTACTTGATCTAGGGTCTGTGATAACGAAGGTAAGAAATGTTGCTGCAGGTATAGCAGAAGGGGCATGGGCTCATTTCGGCCAAGGTAAGGGTGTGCGAAAAACTTAGATGTGGAACTAAATTTTAGTATTTTAACCCACATAGTGGAACTAATTCTTCTATGGGGAGGGGAATGCATCCACATCCCTGCTTCCCCCAGCCTATGTACATGGGAGGAATTTTTATGTGGAAAAAGTATTTTGTTGCAGGAAGTCAAATTTATTTTGTGTTGTAACAATTAACAATTTACTTTCTAAAAAATTCTGGCATTAGGAAATGTACAGAACTATAACATAAATTATATTCTTTCTAGATGAATCGCATGTCAAAAAAAGTACCTCACGATGACCCCTGTGCATGCAAGCAAGCCGAGGAGTGGGATAGTATGACTGTTGACACGTTCCTGAAGAAGAACATGTGGACCAAAGGTGTTAAATTAATGGCAGACTTAAAGGGAGACACAGAAGTACATTTCCTTTATGTTCCCTCCGGTCATACTAATTACCGTCAATAACTGTCAACAAGCGTTGTTGACGGTAATAAGTATGCATGAACATTTACTAATTATCATCAACAAGCGCTGTCATACAATTAGCGTCCTGTGATATACACATTAGTGTCAGACCATAAAAAATATAAAAATAGGCCCACACAAAGCCAACATACTGTATGTCTGTCACAGTCTGAGAGTGCCATTTCCAGCCATGGATCCAGAGGTTACCATTCTTAAAAAAATCTCAGCTTGGGTCTACGAGCTCAGTCCCCCTGTCAGACAGCTTAGGCCTCCCCAAAATGCTATCCTAGAGCCATTACTGGTTAGTAGCCCTAGTCCTAAAATAAAGAACTATAGAATTATTTATAATAATTACTGTCAACAACACATATAATTAACAAAACGCTTGTTGATGGTAATTAGTATTAAATGTACACGTATACTAACGCTTGTTGACGGTAATTAGTATGACCCGGGTCTTCCCCTATGGGCCCCTTGGATCACCCTCTTATGAATAAATTAAAGTGAAAACTTGAGGTTGCTTAAATGATATCAGCATCTAAATACTGTACACCGTTTGAATCTTTTTCTCCATATTTAATATCATTATTGGTAGGTATCTTTTCAGATATCTTTTTCATGATGTAATCTTTAAAATGAGGGTTATTCATTTAAATTACACAATTCAAACCTTAGTTATTGGGGAGTGAAAACAGCACTCTTAAACGATAACCAGTGTTTTAAGTAATCGCCTTCCAAAGTATTTGTACCTACATTGTTAAATGGAATAACCTACCAAAATAAAGTTAAATAAACGATTTATGACCATTTCCTGAACTAAAGGCCGTTTTCCACTAGACAAATTTATTTGCTCAAATTGAAAGCTTTGGTTGGCTCCCTGAGCTCTGATTCACACATATTTTCACTTAACAAAAAATAGAAACAGTTCGAACTACTGATTTCGCTGAAGTGAAAAACACCAATGGAATTTTGAATGTGCATGCGTGTAGACCGACACTTTCAATTCGCGCAAATAAATTTTCCTAGTGGAAAACAGGCTTAAAGCGTCGATCCATGTGCAGGCAGCACTGCTACTACTGCTATTTCTACTTTTTGCGAATGGAAAAAATGCGCGACAAATTAGAGCCCAGGAACCGAACTGACGCCTTTGAATCGCGCAAATAAATTCACAAGTGGAAAACAAGCTTAAGACTTTAGGCCATGATTGATTAGACATTAAACTGTTAGTGTTAATCTAAAAAAAAAATTTGATCTCCAATATTTTATAGCTCATTTAATCAACTGGCCTGTGTTGACAACCTTTTTGCCAGAACGTGGTTCATTTCATAAATTTTGATCGTTTCCAGATGCTCGTGAATTGATTGATATTATCATCTCTACAACAAGTGGAGTGACTCCGAAAGAACTTTCTCTGTTAAGCCTACTTCATGGTGCAAGCGGTGCTGGGGGCTTTGAGGAAATGATGGAAAGCACCAAAGAAGGAGCTCAGGGATTTCGCATCAAGGTAATTTTTTTGTGTGACAAGCCTAGAAATGGTTATGATGACATCACATCCTGACCATACTGTATATAGGCACATCATCACTATATATGGGCATACAACATATTTTTTGTCAAAGAAAATATTTGATTATCTGGACAGAGCCTAAAGCCCTGTCCAGACTATCAGATTTTATCAAAAACATGTGACATGCCTAAATATGGTCATGATGACATCACACTATGGCCATATATAGGTACATCATGACTATATATGGGCATCATGACTATATATGGCCATACAACAGTTTTATCAAAGAAAATTTTGTATTCTGGACAGAGCCTAGTGTGATATATACAAAAAGAGGAAAAAATTAAAAATATGCTGTGAAAAGACTTTAAATATGAAGGAACTATTTGTTATTCATGCATATGCATAAACAGTGTAACAGCAGTTATGTAATAAATCAAAATAAAATCACAATGGATTTCAATTATATGATTTAGGCTGAGCCCAACTGTTTTATTATAAAAAGTCTTGGCACAAACATGTTTCAGCACTGCCATCTTCGGTGTAACGATGCTTAAAATCACTTAAAAGTATTTATAGGAGTGAAAAAATGCAATGAAATTTCATGGTAAATAGGTGAACTGGAGCATATGAAAAAAGCATGAATAAAGATGTAGAAATACACCAAATGGGAGGTGGAGCATTCATGTTTAAGGAATTGAACAATGCCGGAGAAGAAATGCATGAATAAAGATGAGTAAATGAATGAAGCCGGTAAGAACAAAATTAAAGTCGGGCTCCGACAGAAAAAAGTTGTTTGATGAAAAACTGCAGAATGGTGAATGAGATACAGATTTTTGAATATTTGACTGTTTACATACTACAGTATATTTTTACAGGGTGGTGCTCAACAAATCTCTGAACTTGCAGCTGAAAGGATTGGTTCAGAGAATGTTTGGTTGGGTGAGCCTGTGAAACTTATTGACCAATCAAATGACGAGTTTGTGACAGTGGTAACTGAGTCTGGAAAAGAGGTGAAGACGAAATATGTGATCATGTCAGCTCCCATTAATTGTGTTGGTATGTTGATATAGATATATATATAGATATATATATATATAAAACAAAAAACTCCGGAGAGAAAGTAATAAGTTGCCAGGTATATATTTATTTAATAGTGAGCAAACGTTTTCGGTTATCAACCTTTGTTGTATAACAAGAACACTCAGTAGAGAGCATATCTCCGACCACTGCAAAACCCTTTCTATAAAATAAACCTCTCAAAAAATGTTCCTAATTTACTTCAACCACTACCACTGCCACCCCAACTCACTTCGCTCCACTCCTCTTCAAAAACGTAGAATAACTTGTCTCTTTCTTTTAAAAGTTACACTAACATGAAAGTTTCACTTGGATGATTTGATTAGTTTTTGAGATATCTGATCTGCAACATTTTGCTTTGAAGGGTCCATATCAACACCAAAATATAATCACTTCATTTTTCGAACGCCTTTAATTGTATCAGTTGTACACCTGCCAATTCCTTACATGTTACATGTTACATACTAGCACGTTTTAAGGCCAACTCAGACAGCGTTGGCCGACGCAGCCCGACGTGATTTGTTGTCGCGTCGGGTCTGTGTGAGTTGAACGCAGACGCGATGGTGTGCGTCGGGGGCAGTCGCGTAGTAGAATATTAAACGTGTTTAATATTTTCAAGATATTTCTCACGACGGCTTAAGACTGTCCCCGACGATAAATCGGGTCGGGCTGCGTCGGCCGATGCTGTCTGAGTTGGCCTTTACTCTTTATAGCTTAGAAACAAAATACATGCAATGCATTGATATGGAAATAGAAATATGGGGATTTGGTTTTTAGCATCACATGTTAAAGTGTAAAGATGTATTAAACCTTGGGTTATACCAAACAATCCCTGTAACTGGCATTCAAACCAGTGCCGCTGTTTTGGGGATATTTTGTACACAAGAAACACGCAGGACCTTAAAAATTTAAATAACCCTCAAGATCACCCCCTAACTTGGATCATGACCGGTGCTTGATAATTTCTTCCTTGTAACTTTGTTAAAAATTCACGAAAGTAGCATTCATGTCAGTTGATTAGTTTTGGGATATCTTGTCTAGGACAAATTCCTTTAAATGGTCCTTGCATCCACACCCTTCTCTGTACAGTCACCAAAATTTAATCATTTCTTCATTGGGCTATACCTAACACTCCCTGTTATTCTCAATTATGTATGTGCAGCCGCTTTTGAAAAATTTCGAACACAAGAAAAAAAAAACCAGCAAAGCGTTACACACACACACACCCGCACCCACACACACCAACATCACAAAACGAAAACATATATCTCCTGGCGGATATAATAATAATAGTGGAGATTGTATAGCGTCGGTATATCCATCAAGCAAGACGCTCATGGCACTTGGTACAGTATGTCCACCGTAACTCGATCTCGAGCTCAATCAATCACTTTTTTCACTAAAATCTGGGCATGAGCAGGTACTGCATGTGGCACATGAACAGAGAGTCCTGCTAGCATAATCAGCTCATGAGCAGTAGAATAAAATGAGCAAGTAATTAATGCTCATTATAATGGGATTGTCAGATGATATTAATGCAATCTGAAAAAATCCTGTGTTAAATTTCCTATTGTGATTAATTCCAGAAAATATTGTATTCAAGCCCAGCTTGCCTATGGACTATCATTTCCTTGCCCAAAGGATGCCTGTTGGTCACAACCTGAAGTTTATCGTCACCTACAAAAAAGTAAACCTGCCAATTTATTTTCCATAAAATAATGTTATAATAAAGATAATGATAAAAAAAAAGTGGTAATGATGATGAGGACGATAGAAACAATGAGGATGAATGCGGCAGGAGCAATGACAATGATGGTGATGTGTGGCACAGCGTGTGAGGCGTTGAACTTTTGATTGCGGGACCGCATTGCTTTGTGTCCCTAGGCAAGACACTTTACCTACGTTTTATTCTCTCCACCCAGGAGTACAACTGGGTACCTGGTATGTTCGAACACAGCCATGCGCTGATTACTAGCTGCAATATTGCGGAATTCTCCCCAGGGAGCTGAGTATAACATTGGCGGATCTAAGGGGGTCAGGGGGTCCTGAAATCCCCTTAAAAAAAAATTTTCTAGACCTACAGTACCTTTTCAGGACCTGTGAGCTGAATTTTCGTTGTTACAATGGGAAGTTGGGAAAGCTCATTTCCCGCCATTTGGAATCAAACTTTTCCCAGGGGAGGACCCTGGACCCTCCTTTCTTTTTGGGGTTCATCGATTCTGGGAAAAAAGAATACGTATTCAACTACTCAATTTTTTTTTCTGTGTGTACCATTACACACAAAATTTACCTGACCATTTACAAAAGGGGAAAACGTTGATTTTTTCAGAACTTGAAAGTCATTAAAAGACACTTCAGAAGTCGGGAAAACTTATTTCTCGCCATCTAGGTATCAACATTTTCCCGGGGAGTACCCCCGCACCCACCTTCTCTTTCATGGAAAAAAGAATACGTACGCAACAACTCAATTCCTAAATATGCTTTTAGACCACAATATTATGGATTGGCAATCAAAATAGCGTTATTTGGATAGGAAAATTTATAATTTTCTTCAATTTTTGGTCTGACGACCTAGTCGTTCGTCGAACGAAAAGGGTGTCCAGACCTGTCCGACTTTGGCAAATGCCCTCCCTGCTGGCGCCACCACTGTATGACAGTAGTAATTTGTTCATGCGTGGCATGCATCCTGACGTATCAAAATATGGTAGCATTACAACTAGCTGTAAAATGATTCACAGTTATTTTAAAGATCCCTCGCAGCAACAGGGCGTTTTCAATTGCATGACTTAGTAGAATGTAGAACGTAATGACGTCATTAATATTTCATCTGCGCGTGCAAGAATGTTAAGTTCTCGTCGTGTGGATTCTAGGAGGCAATTTGACCAAATCAACTTTGTGCAGAGAACGTACCATGGTCATGCATGAGTGAACCCGTTGTAAAGCTGCGTTGTCCCTCTGCTAAGAGAGGAGCTTAGTTCAGTCGGCTAATTTGGTTAGCCACTGTGTGTGCACTGAACTGTGAAGACCTCTAGGTCCTCGGTTCAATTCCCATCGCTGCCTCTCCTTGTGTTTCAGCTGGAGGGCAAGTTACAATAGTGCACTGTCTTTCGGATGAAACGTTTAGCTGTTGGTCCCATGTGCATTTATGGCCCATGTGCACGTTAAAGAATGCAGTACACTCTTCGTAAAAGAGTAGGGGATTGTCTCCTGGTGTACTGCCCAATCACCACCAGAAGGACCCCACTGGAAATAAGTCTTCTTCTAGAATTTCATGGGCTATCCTTGGTGTTTACACCGAATAAATCCAATCCAATCCAATCCAATTCTGACTCTAAAGAACCCTTGTGTGCCGACAGAGCATTCAACTATTGTAAGAGTATGTTTTTTCACTTAGGCCTTTTGGAGAGAAGCTGGTCTGTCTGGAGAGATAATTAGTTTCGGTGGTGCGCCGGTAATCGATGGTTGCGATACAGGTCCCATTCAAGTAGTGCTTGACGCGGTCACAGATAATGGAACTCCTGCCTTGGTTGGCTTCTTTGCAAATTCACGTCAGTGGCGGAAAATTGAGGTAATATACAGTGGTAAACCCTGGAGGGAAATTTGAAACTGAGAATTTAAAGTCCTTTTCAAAATATTGAATTTTGTTTGACAAAACAATCTATAAAGCAGACAATCACTGTGCCCAATGGTTGTCCGCCAACACAATTGTGTTTAATGACTATCCCTTTTAGGATATATTTTCTAGGAGGAGGGAGGGGGGGGTGAGATGTCTGACAGGGAGGACTTGAAGTCGTAGGCCCCAGCTGGGGGAAGGGTTTAAGAGGGGGGGGTTCTCCCTCCCAAATGAGATTATTTTAAGAACAGGTACCTCTGGATGGCCAGAAATGACACACTTAGACTGTGACAGACGTGTGTTGGCTTGGCGTGGGCCTATTTTTATATTTTTTTTACTTCGACTTCCTGACGAACACTGTATGATTGGGGGACTTGACCTGTCCAGTTTGGGCCAGCCTCCCCCCCCCCCCCCGCTGGCGTCACCACTGCTCCCACCGACAATCAGCAGAGGGCGTTGTGTCGTCTAGTGCTCACAGACAGGTGGTACGACCTTTGTACAATGCAGTGAGTACCCAACTTAACAGTTGTATTGTTTGAGTCTCTTGCTATTAAATTTTTTTTTTGCTTTATATTCTCAGCTCTCTGTGAGGAGACGAGAGGTGGTGAAACAGCTAGTAGAGTATCTTGGCCCTGAGGGTGGGGATATAATTGACTATGTTGATAAGGTAACATGCGAGCCCTCGGGAAGTTTTTTATGTATTAATCTAACCCTTGTATAATAATTTCCACTAGTGTATGATATGCAACTATACTATTACTGCATATTAGTCAAACAAATCAAACACTACAACTAATTCAGTTTGATTTTCAATTCGATTAATAAACTACTTTTGGTTATATCACATGATGCAAAATCTAATGGTATGATTTCACTGAAAATGATATATATTGTTTATACAAATTCCATTAAACAAGCTCTTGTAATCTCGAAAGCTCCGATGAGGGCAGTAGAGTATATTAAAAAAGCTAAAAAAAAAAAACAAACTTTTTAACTAAAGCAAACAGTCGATAGAATGCACACCGCCACCAGACCACTTTCAAATTGAACTTTACTTTCTGTAATAAATATGTAGCACCCAATTGAACTTAACTTTGGGATTGGTAAATATATTAAATCTAAGCAAATTGAAATATTTGCAGTACCCACTGCTACTTAAGGATCGGTTTCAACTGTCACTAAGTGCAAGCTTGGTGGTCTAGTGGTTATGACACCAGGCTAGTTATCTGTCGGATGTGGGTTCAATTCCTATCTCAATCAATTGAAAATTTTTCACAAGCATTTGGGGACATACTGGGTATTTGTTACGATAACATCAGGTAGGGCAAATCATAACTCCTGTAATTCAAATATTGATTTTAATTGTTCAAATTTAGTAGCTATTAATCACAGAATATGTTGGCAGTAAAAAATGCACTGGTTAATTATGTCCTATATAGGATTGGGCAGAAGAGCCGTATAATGGTGGATGTCCAGGCAATTTCATGACAACTGGTGCGATTACACTCTTTTTCAAATCCTTACAGAAGACATTTGATAGGTGAGATTTTAGCTTATTCTGATAAGCAGTTGAAAGCCAACATTAAATGTAATATATTGATGTCATTAGCGTGTGCCTACAGAGAGGCACTGCAAATGAATGACGAAACAGACAGAATTCAGATGAATGCAAAGCCCGGCCATCCCATGGTAAAACAACGTAACTGCTTTTATATTTTTGATAAGTTACATTATTTTTCCTTGGAACGGCCGAGTCAGTCATTTCTGTTTATAAACTAAAGCTGGGCACACACTATGTCATATGACCGACGACCAGATGAATCCTACCCTGCTTTCTCTGAGCGTTAGATGACAAGACAAACAGATCGTCATTAAAAATGATACGTTGAACGCATCATGGCTTTGCGTTTTCAACAAAATCGCGTTGGCCGACGACCGCCGGACACAGGCGAGGCATCAAAAACCCTGCCATCCTCATATCACCTAAACCTACTTGACCAGTGTTGCGTCAAATTGCGTTAAACCAGTGACTTTCTCAAATTACAATAAATTCTCTGTGCTGAATACATTTATTTTTCCTCTTTTTTTTCAGAGTACACTGGGCTGGTACAGAAACTGCCACATTGTGGTCTGGTTACATAAGTGGAGCTGTCCAGACAGGACTGAGAGCTGCCGATGAAATCCTTAACAGAATGGATCCGTCGTTGACTCAAGATGGCCTCCTCAAATCACTGGACAATGAGAGCAGTGGGGACTAATTGCTAAATTCTCAACAAAAATCTGTGACCAATGCTAGGTTTACACTATGTTCCCGGTGGCCACGGCAACCCTGTTTGTCCGAAATGTAGTACGCCGTGGGATTTTGGCAATTTTTTCCGTTTCAAGTTTCCGTCTTGACTTTTTTGGTGGCATAGCTTTGCCTTCTTTCATTGCTTGGTCTTCACCGACTGCTTCTTGTTTCATTTGTGGCGTTTTTCCTATTTATGCTTCCCATCCCAATACGGTCTGCCTCCAAGTTATGTTACGACCTATTACGTACTGTCACGTTTTGTTGCATTCACCCCGTTTCACTACGGCCTACTAGGTTTCTCATTCGCACCGTGACTGCTGTGCCAAATTTTTTGAGTTTAAAATTCTGCGCCAGCATCCGCGGCAATCCAACCTGTCACATTTGCACATCCCGTCCCCCAACGTTGTTTCACATTGTCTCATGTCCATCCCATTTTGTTCACGGTAGTCTGAAACGTGGTTGTCGTGGCCACCGGGAACAAAGTGTAAACCTAGCATGATCAAACCATTATGGGTGTAATGACTATGCCACCGGTCAAGGCATAATACAGTCATGTGGTTTGTCTTTAAAACATAATCTTGAGCTTAAGTGCTTAGCCCAATATGTATTTTGAATATTTAGGATAAACTTCACCTTGTTATTAAGGGCTAAGAATGATACCTCAGTTATTAGTCATGATTTTACAGTATATCCACATTTGACAAGTTTTGTGAAAGATTTGTTGAAACTGGCATATGTGATAGAAGGTCTTATTTAAAACATTAAGATACAGGTTGCAATATTACTTACTACTGCTGATTTTGTCATGCGAACACTACCTGCATGTGGAGGGCCTCAGGAGACAACTGTGCTGTTCATGAAAACAAAAAAGCTTGTTGAAATATGCACTGTCTTCACAGACTTTTGTTTGGTAGTGAATACAAAACTACTTGACAACCGATGTGCGTTTATTTTGACGCACTGTTTTGTTTTTACTAACTAACACAACCTACTTCCAATGTTAGTTTTTGTGATTTGAGTGACAATATTTCAAAACAATGATTGACAACGTCTACCACGCTATTGGATGTTGCCATCTATTATTGATGCTTTTGCAGATTTGAAATTAAGTATTTACTAGCAAATTCTGTATAGTTTTCTAAAGTAGAATTATCAAATATTTTCTTTTTAATATTTACAGAACTAGCTGAAATTTCTGTTGGACAAAAATTAACTAGATAAAATAAATGTATTAATCTTAAATAATATTTAAGTTAAAAAATGGATTTTATATCAGTTTTATAGTGGTTTTATATTTGAGAGTATATTTTGTCTACCAAATGTATTAGATTACATTCAACTGTTTTCCTTAATATATGTTAAAGCTTTAGTTAGTTACAGTACTTACTGATCCTGCAAATCCTCAGTTGGATGTAGCATCCCTGATAGCTACACGGAAGGAAGCTCTTTCTGTTGCCATTCTGCCTGCCTAGGCTAAACTGATGTTTAGTAGCCTTTCTCCCATCGTATCCTTGGTCGTCCGCTACCTCTTTTTCCCTCAAATCTGCCTTCCATAAATGTCTTCTCTAGAGAAGTGTGACGTTTTATTAGCCATGTTTCTTCAATGCCCAATTGTCCTCTTATTGATTAATTTGTTCTGTGTTCCCTCCACGAAACGGCCATTACTCTTCAGTAACACTTCATCTCAAAAACATTTTATGGCAGCCTTCACTTTTTCATTTAGAATCCAGGACTCGCATCCATACAGTATATCTGTAGGGAATATGCACGCTCTTAAGATTGGAACTTTTGTATATACGTTCTGGCCTTTCCATAGTACTTCATCTAATTTTGTTCATCCCAATTACTTTCCTTCTTTTAATTTCGCCAATATCTGGCTAGCATCTTCATGTCTAGTTACTATTTTAAGAGGTTCACCATCCATCAGGATTATCGGATTACCTTCTGATTCTGTCTTCTTCCCATTTATTTTCAGATTTTTTTCTTTCACTCCCTGCTCTAACAGCACACAAGAGTCTTTAGCATTTCTGCACTCTAAAAACAATATGGTATCATCTGCATACCTCATCTCATTAATTCTCTCCTTGTATTATTATTTCATTGAACTGCCCATTGTTTGCTAGATAAAAATCTTCAGTATATACATTGCTTTTATAGTTACTGTAAATTAGCCAGTGTTTGGCGGAATTGTTTTCATCTGTGTCTTGTTGATGGCAGTTATGGTTACTAAGTACTGTACTATATAATAAATTTTGTATTGTTTATTTTACATGATTTTCATAGTCAAATAAATACAACAGTATCAATAAAGTTGAATATTAATTGTTTATTACTACAGTACATGCACTAGGTTAACTGATGCAGAAAAATATTCACAACAAAATATTGTACAAATTTACATTATATTAACAAATATTAACAAACATTAAAAAAATATATAATAAATAATACAAGACGTACTGTATAATCATATACATAATGAAATATGTTCAATAGAATAATCATGTGTTGTTGTAGAAACCACTTGTGACAATGCTATAATTAAATCATAGTGTTTATAATTTTTACCTTAAAATTTTTGGTAACAAATACTAACACAAATTGTGAATATATTAACATACCGGTAGCATAACATTTAGCAGCATCATCTTCACATCAACGAGTTTTGAGAAATCAAACAAATATAAAACTGACAGATTTTTTTAAATACTAATTTAATGTTGTATTGAAGGAAAGAAGCTTCATTGTTATGACAACAGCTGTTGGTGGGGGTTGGTTTGGCTCCCCCTATCGAACAAGAATGAACCGCATTTTTCGTCTGATGGTACTTGAGATTGTTGGCCTAAAATTATCTATTGTGATTGTAGTTCACAAAATTGCTGATTGGATGCCAAGTTTCAAGTGATATATGAACCAATTCAAATTAAGTTACTATTATTCCTGACCAGAGGGCCTACAGCAGATGGCTTCTTGGTTTAATCTAGCTGTCAGCAAAGTTCTGAAGCTACCACTGGAATAATGCCAGTTCTTTGCAAGGGCCCAGTTTTATACACAGCCAGTGGTTACTATTTTTTATACTATACTTATAAAGGTTTTTTCAACGACTTTAGATTTTAAAGTAATTAATTTCAACAATAATGCAACACTTCAATTCACCAGCGAATTGAACTCCCTGAATGAATAAATTAAGATGTTTTATACCAACCATCAGAGCATTTTTCACACACTATTATCTACAAAAACTTCCCAGATAAACTTTCCTTTTTGACGCAATGCATCCTTACATAACAAGCAACAATTATATTAGCAAACCAAAATTGTTTACAGGTACTTCTTTTTAATTGTTTGTGAGGGGTAAACAATGGGAGATGTCCCATTATACCAGACATCCTAAATTGGAAGAAGTCCCTTCCGGGAGATCTGGTTAAATGTTTCTTAACACATCTAATACCATTTTGCTGCACAGTGATAAACATCAATGCAGATGGATGGCTGAACGGTTAGCCACAACCTACAGCCATAATATCGGTGCTGGTTCTAATGGCACACTTGTATATGGTTCTGGTGGTGGAACAAGTCTTCTTGGAATTTGCAGGGGATGGTTTTTTTTTTTTCGGAGATTCTCGCTTGCTTAAGGGAGTGTGGGAGGCCAACCTGATTTTTGGCAAATGGGACTCATGTTTATGCACACAGTAAATTCACCACTAAATAAGAAAGTACAGAACCAACATTAAATTACTTACACAAGGCATTGTACATAAAGTTCAATGGATCGTGGTAAAGGATCCATGAAACATTATTATTTTATAAAATATTACAATATATACAACACAACATTTTAGTGGAAAAGCAGCATTATATTTGCACTATTTTACATTAATTAAATATTTTACTTTAGAATGGACTAGAGGCACGACGTATCCAAATCCGCTTCCTTTGAGTGATGGATGACGCAACGCCATCCACTGATTGTTGGCAATGGCCTGAATGGATCGTCATCAAAAATGATCTGTTGAGCACTAATCGTGTTGTGTTCTTTGTAAAACTGCGTCGTAGTGAGTGCCCAGCTTTAGGAGTAGGCTAAGTATTTCGCAAAGAGCTACAAGTAACTGCAAAGCATATTACTCAGTGGAATTTTATCAGACTTTGACGTCCATGAAATTGAAATACAGTATTTTAGCAATGTATACCCAGCATAAAATCTGTTTTCCACTAAGCGAATTTATTTGTGCGAATTGAAAACGACGGTTCACTTACTGAGCTCTCATTGTTTGCACATTTTTTTGCTTCGCAAAAAGTAGAAACAGGTTGAACTACTGATTTTGCTGACGCAAAAAACTCCAATAGAAATGAGAATGTGCATAAACCGTCGCTTTCAAGCAAATAAATTTGACTAGTATAAAACAGGCTTAAAAAGGGTGTAAAACAACTTTTTACCTAATTATGGAAATGAACCTGTAATTGTAAGTACAATTTAGTTTCTAGGCTCTCTATTTCCAAATTCCTTGATCCACCACTAGAAATTGAATCCGCACCCTTATGCTGGAAGCTATGCTCGTAAGCATGTATATGAAAAATGTTATGCCTTGAGCCCTGTCCAGATCACATTTTTATTTTAAAAAACATGTGACATGCCCATATATGGGCATACAACAGCTTTTTGTGCAAGAAAATTGATAATTTGGACAGAGCTTTAAGATTTGTCTACAGAGTTATCAAATTTAATCAAAAAGCGTCACATAAAATATGATGGAAAATAAGAGTAGAACACGTTCAACTTCTTTTGATACAATTTGATAGTTTGTGATATGATGTCATCGTACCCATATATGGGCACATCACATTTTTTTGTCACATAAAATTTGATAGTGTAGAATAAGCTTTACGCTGCTAGTACCTTAAGTGAACCGCACAGGAGATGGCCTTCATTAGTAAAAAGTACAAAACACAAGAAATATTTTTTGTGAATGGAATTGTCGTCAAATGCTAAGCTTCTAAGTTTCGAGGTTGTGGATGTAATTCCTGTATATTTGTCTCTAAAAAACAATAAAGTTCATTTTTAATATTTCTTAAACGTTTAAAAGAACAAGTACTGTACATATTAGTATATAAATCATCATTGCAAGACGTTGATTTTATGTGAAATATATGGTTACGAGATGAGATTATTAAATATTTCTTTCCGTGAATGAAGTTTACTATAAAAAAACTCCAAAGAGCAAAAAAACATGGATGACATGCTTAGTGGAGAAAACAAATGGTATCAAATTAAACACACACATCAAAGATCACACCATCTTCAACCCACTGCAGCCTATACAACAATTACCCCAGATTGGTCATTAATTTCTATTCTGTACTTTGAACACATCTGGTGTGTTTATATTTTTGTATGAAAATTCAGCAAGCGCCCCTGCTTATCAGCTATCGTCGAGTAACCTTTTTGCTTGTGTGAACCGTTAAATCTATCCTCATGGATTTATGTCATATTTGAGGAGTTTTTTAAGGATTTCTGTTTTAGTTTTTTCCGGTTTTTTTTATAGGGTTTCAATTAGGCTTGAGAAACTAATTTCTCTTTACATGGTTTTAGTCCATTAAAACGGATCCATTAAAAACGATAAGTTGCGCGTGTCGTTGCGTTCTTCATAGAATGGTGTCGGTTAATGACCGTCTGTCGCAGTGATTTCCCACCTTCTGTTGCCTTAAAATACAGTAGATGGAACTAAAGATTTCAATAAATTATGATATATAATCTTTACACTAATGTATATACCTAAATTTTCAGTATACAAACCTGCAATACAATTCACTTCCTCAATAGTGTTTATACTAAAAAAAAAAACCTATTTGCACAACAAGTTAACAGAAACCAAAAATATTGATTCCTATAGTGATTACATCAAGAAATCTGATATATTAATCCATATTTCTAAACTGCATTTCACATATTTCTTTGTATTGATGATAATCTTTGAAAAAGATAAAGCATTTTCTTACCATACTGTAGTATTCAAACTAAAATGTATAAAGTATTTAAGCACAACAAATGTTTATTCTGGCATCTGCCTCTAAAAGTTTAAAAATGTCTAAATTTATAAATCATTTTAGTTAACTTTCACACATCAACTCTATGACTTTTTTTGTATTACTGTTCAAATATTTTATTTAAGGTAAATCACGGGGGGATCCAAGAGGAGGTAATGGGGCTGGGCCCCCTCCCAAAAACAAAAGCGAAAAGAAAAAACATGGTACTCAACAACAAGCTAATTTCCTGTTTTAATTTCATTTCTAAGCAAAAAGCACACACATCACCCATTCTTGCTCAATGCTTTGCGCATTGCATGGCCCCTGCCCACACTTTTCTCTACATGCATTCAGGGTTCACGCGGGTCACTCATCTGGGTCAAAGTTTAATATTAATGCTTTATCACCATGGCACTAGTTGAAGATATGTCTGTGATAACTAGATATTGATTATCATGTGTCTTTAGCTGAATGCTGAGGTGCTGGTAACATAGGTATATATGGGCAAGACCTTTGTTCTGCACTGGGTGATTCAAAGATATACTGTCTGTCATATATTCAATTCAGTTGCAATAATTTGGCTTTTTTATATTTATTTAATGTCTGTGATAAATCCAGATAAAACCTGCAAATAAAAAATATACTTAACTGCTTTATTATTTATCAAGAAAATTATCAACTTTGAATAACCCACAGATCAAAGTAATTAATTTTTTTTTTTCTTGATTTATAAAATTGTTTTATTTTGACTGCCAGCCAATTTAAAGGTCTATGTGAAGTATATAGGAATGGCATTATTTGGTGGAGAAAATTTAATTCTTTTATATTAATTAGCAATTGAAAGCCAATAAGTAACCAATTAAGTATTAAATTAAAAGTTTGTTTTTTTAATGGTAATGGTGACACAATAAAATTCCATATAGCCATGTTGTACCTATATATGGTCATGATATGATGTCATCATGACCATATTTAGGCATATCACATGTTTTTCTTAAATAAATTTTGATAATCTAAACAGAGCTTTATACTGCAGGCCTATATGATCTTTATGGACCGAAAATCACTACCGATTAATTCATCACGGACATATATCTTCAACTGGCATTACCCTACAATTTTCAAATCGGATGTCATCGTGAGAATATTAAAATGTTTTCTACAACGTGACTATCCCCGACGCAGAGCTTATAATAGATGCGACAAATAATCATGTCGGACTGCATCATACAATGCTGTCTGAGTAGGTCTTAACATGAGTGAACATGGATATCAGTCATTTATCCTTTAACTACAGGTGGATACTATGCAAATGAGATGGTATTTTCATTAAGATATACCAGATGGGGATTCAGCATTTTTAATCCTTTTTCTTGTTCCGTCCCAAAGCTTCAAGAACTTGTTTAACAGCAATACTGTAATACTTGTGAAGAAGACCGCGGTGATGTAATCCCGGTAACAATACCATGAATAGCACTGGGAAAAATTACAAAACAGATGATATAGTTAGAAACTAATAAAGTGGGTTCCTCCACTTCCATGTACTTCACAATTCACTATTAACTTTTAGGTATAATAAAATAATTTCTGATGTATTTTTTTTTATTCATATATATACCAGAATAAACACAAACAATAAAGTACTGTACGTCATTACAAGGACTGACTGCTCAGGCTTTCAAAATAACGACATCAGGATATGTGGAGGGGGAAGGAGAAATAAAGTGAGATTTAAAGGAAAGGAAGGAGGGAGGACTGTATTATTTTGATAATAGGAAGTTCAATTTTAAATACATCAAGAATTTGGTTTGAACAATTGGAAAAAAATTTCTCTTGAAATTGAATATATATTGCACTCAAGAATAATAAACAAAAAAACAAACCAACCAATTAGATGTGACAGCCTGTGAACAGGTTTGACCAATGAGAAATCAACACACTTACCAAATAAGTAGGTGAGGAAGAAGTTAGGAACTGCGTTCCCAACGAAGGCGATTATTCCAAGAACTATCAGCACAAGAGCACAATACTATAAAAAGGAATACAATTTAAAATGTGGACAACATATCTTTATCAAGATCGCATAGACTACTGTAATAATGAAAGACAGCACACATCCCTTGCATGAGTTTTTTAACTGCAATTGTTCAGGATTTAGGTTGTACTCTTCATACCCGCCACACTATTAATGTAGCTCTTTTTATTCCCTGCTCGACCCACCATTTTAACGAATTTGCAATTACATTACCTTTATGCATTTTTAGTTTTTTGTGTATTATTTTAAAACGTTTGATGTTGTTTATGTTTATGCTTGTGGTGAGCTATCAGATACAAGTTAATTATCCAGGGACCGTGCGTTCCCCCAAAATAGTTCGCGCCCCAGTCACACCCAGCCTTAAAAATGTCCGAAACAATAAAAATCACGCTCAAGTAGGTAAAAATCACCTCATATCACCTCTATTTTGTGACCTAACACCCGCTCACTTAATCATAGAGGCAACACCCTGCACCACCAATCAACCCCTTCCCCATTTCAAGACTCTTAGATATGCTTCTACAATTAGACTGTGAGGCTACATTTTTTGTGACCTTGAAGGAGTATATCAGTATGAATGATCATTTGGGTCAAACAAATTTGACAAAATTTTGTCTTTCAAAACAAAAGTTCACAAAATCATTGAACTTTCGGTAAACCAACATTTTTATGATTTTGTTATTGATACTCGCACATGCAAACCTTCAAGAAAAACAGAAGTTAATAATTTTTTTCTGATTCTAACCTGTTTAGGTTTGTTTGATTTCATTTCCTTCATCTCTGAGGTGAACCTAGTCACTTTATTCTTGGTGTTGACGATGCCGATGCAAATCTGCTGGTACTGCTGCTGGTTGTCAGGCACCCTGATGGAAGACATAGTAAACAAATTGTTGACATCATGATTATGACTTGGTTACAAATATCACAAACACAACTTTGCATTAAAAGAGATGGTGGACAGGCTCATGAGGCTGACTAGTACCAAGATCGACAATGATGATGATGATGATGATGATGATGTTTGTAAGAGTTGATGCTGATGGTAATAAGGTTGACAATGCATAACATATCAGTCTTATGGATCATGCCTACCTATATAGGACACATACACTGCTTAGCTCAATGTGAAAATCAATAATGTAGCAACTTGTAATGAGTACCTTAAAAATACCAGGTTACCATTTTCACTCATAGAGAGATGAAAATGATAAATACATTAAAACCTTGAATTGAAGCCCTGGACTTCTTTTTTTTTGCAAACTTTGGATGGACAACTTTTAGAGATGGGCTTCTTTTCGAGGCTACTATAGGGGGCTTCTTTTCAAAATGAATGCTGTAAATTTTGTGAATTTGTACTATAGAACAATAAATAAGGCCACTGTAACATCAACCTGTATCATGAAGTGTATTTACCTGTAACGGGCATTAAATCACCTAAACTACTGTATAAACCAAGATTGTTTTTAATTATTTTTTTTTTAATTCATGTACAGTGTATGTACTGTACCAGCTTGAAAAGAAGCATATGCTACCTTGAAAATGGATTCTTTTGGAGGCTAATCTTTCAAACTAAAGAGGGGGCTTCGATTCAAAATAGGCTTCAGCTCAACATTAAGCCTGCTGGGCTCCAAATCGAGGTTTTACGGTATGATGATCAGTAGCAGAGCGGTAAGGCAGGGGTGCCAATAACTAGCTGCTCACCCTGGGTTCGGTTGGTAGAACCAAGTCTTCTTGGATAAGGACTTAACATGGAGGTCAGTGTACAGATCTGGCTTGTGCACCAATTGCATCTTTTGGGAGAGTACGGGGTTACCCTGATACTATGGTTCATTTCCGCCCCTCTCGTTGTGGAATGATGTGAAGATGGAGCTACTATAAACGCATCTTTATGGTCGCTAGATAGTCACGGACCCCAGCCACACATACTTTAGCAACAATGACACTGCGAGTTTAATAGCTAATTACGTTTAATGATGATAATTAGAATATACTGATGATGGTGATGATTATGATGATTATGATGATGGAAATAATAATGATGGTACTCTACAATGACCTATTGAACTCACCATTCTCCAGTGTGGATATATTTTGTGAATACTCGAGGTAGGAAATAATCAATGAGACAGACAACCATGGCTAACAAAGAGACAGTGGTAAGTATTGAGGGTTCCAGGTACCAAATTGCACTACAAAAAAAAAAGACAACATGTTAAGATCAATCCACACTGTCAAACTTTATGTTACAAATTTGTGTGATGTGCCCATATATGGGAATGATGATGCTATATTACACCCAAATATGGGCATATTTTTTGTCACATAAAATTGGACAGAGCTTTAACTGATAAAATTAATTTATACTAAGATATTAGTTTTATTTATTCAATAGACCGATTCAGCGATGTTTGTTTACAGGCCGTCACGTGACATAACTTGGGTATACCATGGAAAACATTACAGTAAGATCAGTGCAAAATATAAGAAAAGGTAATGTTATGGTCACGAAAACAACCAAACACTGAGAAATAAATGGTAAGGAAAGGCAATACGACTGTCAAAATAGTGTTTATTTACTTATCCTACAGTAGCATTCTCCTAGCATTATATGCTTTGAAATTTAGTGATCCTTTGTAAACCTTACCTAGCCTTAAAATAGTAGCCTAGTTTGTGGGGTTGAAGACCCTTGTGCATACCTAAACAGGCCGTAGATGTGCAGAAACCTAGGCTTAACATTTGTCGAAAAATCTCAATGATTGCGGCCAGTATCCTTTAGAACATTAGCAAAACATTAAGGAAAAATTCTTAAGTTCGATTTCCAATCAATTTGGTATAGTTTACTAGGAATTATGATGATCTTTACAGCAATAACAAAGGACAGCCGCAATAGCTATCTCCATGAAAAACACTGCTGTGCCAGTCCATTGTTTACATCCAACATCCAAGTTAGATCATGTGACGTCCATCACCGAATCGGTCTATTACAATCTGAAACAACTAGTAGTTATATTAATATGATAGTATGGTGATGATGATAAAGATAGCGATGATGATGTTACTATTATGAGGCTGGTCTGGTAGATGAAGAGATTGAAGATTGAAGATGATTGATTGAAGGTGAAGAGATTGATGATGAGGATAAGGATCATGATGATGTTGAAAGCTCTTTCCCCACTAACAAATTTTATGTGACAAACTTTATATGACATCATCATGCCCATATATGGACACATCATGCCCATATATGGGCACATCATGCCCATATATGGGCACATCATACCCCATATATGGACACATCATACCCATATATGGGCACATCATGCCCATATATGGGCACATCACACAAATTTGTCACATAAAATTTGATAATGCTGACAAATCTTAAGCGAAATTTGTTCATCTGCATTTCTTTAGAAGTGAATAGAATATTGAAATAGGCACACAGAGGCATTGTGACATATACACTATATCAGTGCAAAATTATTATTAATTAACTTTATGTGATTGTAGAGAGAACACTCACAAGAATAGTGCACTGACACATCCCGCCATGATGCCTGGGTACGAATCCTGTTCCCATTTCAACCACCTATCTACATGTAGCAAGATAAACCGCCAATCATGTAACATCTTCTCTACTGCTGCTATCTCTTCATCCTGTGGAATTCAGTGAAGAAAAAAAGCATTTGTTAAAAATACATTGACAGCTATGATGACTAAAAATGTTGTTTTAATACAGGAAGTTTCACTGTACAGACTACATGACTCAGCACCCTGGCTGTGACTGCATGATTTTTGTATATTGATTAATACCTAGTTGGCCTGGTGGCGGTGCTAGGGGAAAGCAAAGGGGGAATTTTCCCCCCTTTCCCAGTGGCAGTTCCCCCACCCCCAGTTTTGCTGGAAAAATGAACACTGTAAGATTGGCCAACAAAATTAATTCTGCAATCTGTCTGTCTGTCATTTCAAGACCACTGGCCACTTAATTACTAACAATGCATTTTTAAACACAAGTTTTACATTTTTAATAAATATACTGAGCATTTACATAAAAAGCAACTGCATAGAAGCGCTACCTGTTAATGTGTGTTGTGAAACATTATAATTGTATCTCCAGAAAACTACGCCAGAAAATATTTCCCCCACTAAAATTTTACCTTGCTGAGGATTCTTCGCCCCCTGGAACACTTTCGAGAGATTTTGAGTGACGCTCAACCACGCCCACTTCCTTTCGTTGGGGTCCTCAGACCTCCTTTGAGCAAATCCTGGCACCACCACTGTCCATGCAGCGAACTTTTCATGTTACTCTTTTCATGGTATAATCATTTGCGGGCTAGAGAGATTGAAATCGCTTGCAGGTTAGATTAGACCCACACCGGTCAGTAATTCTCCTGTTAAGTTACAGGAATTATGTGGCAACCCGCAATCTCTTGAAACTAACCCATCATCTATTCTCAAACTCATTTTGCATGTTTTAAATATTGTAATTATTAATAATTTGTCTGCCTCAATTAAGCTACTTTTTATCTTTTTTTAAGAATCTCAATTTCATATGGTGCATTTCACATTCCGGAAAATATAAAAAGGCGCTGGTATCAGTATTTCTCTGGTTACTGGATACTTGTGGTAAACCAGCACATTTTTGTTTTTGTGCAACTATCTCTGATCTCTGGAGAGTATACCTAGTCGATGCTTTACGCGAGCAACCACATACGTTTAATGCCATACCATCCTACCAGGTAATCATTTATACTCCTGGGTGGAGAGACGCAAACGTAAGTAAAGTGACTTGCCCAAGGACACAAGCTGGCGATGGGCATCAGTCTTGAATTCCGGAGCTCACAATCAGAAGTCCAACACCATACATGTTGCTCCACATGCTCTGGTAAACCATGTGCAGCAAAATAGTGCTAATATGAAGTGTTATGAAATCTCATATAAACCAAATGGACCCAGAAATGGTTTCTCCCAATTTGGAACCCATGGGCAACTATTTGGTGACCTCTGATCTACAGTAGATAGCTCCAAATTCAACATAAATCCTGAAATCAGATTACTATAGAGTCATCGTTCAGCTCATCATTACCAGTTGTGCTTTTATGTTATGATGACATTTCCACCTGTCAAAAACGTTAACCCTCATACTAGAGCCAGAAGACAATCATTAACCAATGAGTACTGATCAAAATATGCATGAGTTGCAATATTGGAAGCAGTCTATATAATGGAATGGTGCTGTAACTTGGTGGTTAATATGTTTGCTTTCAATCACAGGGTACCAGGTTCAAACTCTGTAACTGCAGGATTAGCAGACTTCTCAAGTACTACGGAAATTCCTTAGTTTATTTTATTTTTATTTTTATTTTATTCATTCTGGCAAAACAAATAACAATATAAAACATTACAATTATACAAGAAATCAGAAATTCACAAACATGAAGAATACTTAGGTGAGCCAGGGAGCAGCAAAAGCCAGACCACTGTGTGGCTCCCAGAAAAGAAAAAAAAAAGGAATATTAAACAATAATAATATAATAATGTAATAATAAGTTAGACCTAATTGGTTGCTATAGAAATTTTGCCTAATTACAGATGTACGGACATTAGACAAAAATACTATGGAAATTTATCATAGGCCAAGACCTATAAACGAATAGGAGGCTAACGTCCAAAACAAGTGACTTTTTCATCAGATCTTTGGTTATATTGTCTTAAGACAACTCGTACTTGTCAGATTACTATTGACCCTAGGTAAGCCCAGAAAAGAGAGTTATTTTTGGGCGTCTAGAAAACAAAAAAATTTGCAGGACATTCCCCCGGACCACCTAAGAAGTAAGGTGTTATCTTGATCGGCCCACATCGGCATTTTTTGGTAGTCACTGCAGTGGTCTTGTTAGGTAGAATGCCTGGAATTTCGAGTACCCAGACTTCTGGCTACCTAGGCCTAGCCTAGGCCTAGGAAGGATTCGGACAGGCCTAGCCTAGGCCTAGGTAGGATTCGGATAGGCCTTGCCTAGGTCTAGGCCTCTAAGCCCTACCCTAACTTTAAGTAAGCTAGTCTGGCCCTAGCTAGGCCTAGTAGGCTAGGCTTAACACCATTTATGGCATTTAAATCAAACGCAATTTACCATGAACTTACTTTACTTATTTCGCCATCCGTTTTTCTTTCAGTTGCCATATTTCGTTTTGCTAGTAGGCCTAGATAACGTTTACTATAATTTTGGAAGACGTTCCTTACGTTGTTGACAAATTGAATAAATCGTCGTTGTTGTTATTTTTTTTCTTTATTACAAATACATTTTAAGGAGGGCGCTATGATAGTTAACATCTCCCTCTTCAAACACCATTCCAAAACCCAGCAGCACACCAGAGACCGCGGTATCGATATCTGTTGCCAATAAACTCGGATCTTCATGGGTCACGTCCCCCTCACCGGCAGTGGCGACGCCAGCGTCTGCAATCGGGGGTGGGGGAGTGAGGGCGAAAGGTAAAATTTTAGGAGGAAATATGCTGGGGGCGTGGTCGGGCGTCGTTTAAAATGTCTTGAAAGTGATCCAGGGGATATGCCTACCCCGAAACATATGATAATTTAGGGGGGTTTCGCAGATAGTCTATTAATATGTAGAAAATACTTTTTTTTTCTTCCCGATGGTTTTCTTTTTTTTTTTTTTGGGGGGGGGGGGTAGTTAGCAGACGAGGAAAAAGAACATTTTCTCTGGGAGATTTCTGGCTCCCCTGCTTGCACATATTTAAGCTGGTTTGGTTCCCCACTTTTGGACTGCAATGTAATTTCATAAGTCAAGAAGATGCCTGAAAATTGTTGAAATGAACTCATGAACTGCATAAATGACCCACCAGGAACGAAAGAGTGCTGTATCAGAGTACTACAATGAAGATGAATTTTATTTTTCCTGGCCATCTAGAGGTACATCATTAAATAAGTTCACCAGGCTCGTAGATAACAGCAGATATATAATTTTCTTTTAACAAAACCAAGTATCACTTATTATTATTATTATTATTATTATTATTATTATTATTATTATTATTATTATTATTA